CCCCTTTAGGGAATGGAATAGTAATTTTGTCCCAAATTTAAAAGGGCAAAATAAGTAAAGTTTTCCCCGGAAGAAGTGCCAAAATGAGTAATTATTGGGATTAACTTGGGATACTAAGAGAGTTTGTTAATGTTAAAACCTAATAATTCAGTATGCCCAATAAAATTTAATAAAAGAGTTTTGCTTGCTGAAGTTTTTAAATGTTTTGACCACTAGGGGTTTGGTCACCCCCTTTCTAAAGAGGAAATTATTAAAATTTAGGAAATGGAAATTAAAGTGCTTTGGATGAAATTCTACCCGAGGAATTCATTAACAGGGGGGGTGAATTAATTGGGGATTATGAAAAAAATTCCAATTTGGGGTTCCCATCCAGGTGGGCCAAACCAAAGGGGAAAAGACTCCACATTTTTTTTGATGCTCAAAAAATTTGGGATTTGGGCAGTTTCTTACCTTCATGTAAAAGTGTTATTTCTCTTGTTAGTCTAAGGCAAAAATGTCTCCCAAATTTAAAACAATACCTTACCTCAATTTTGGAAATTTAAAAGCCATTTTGTAGGTTTTAAATTAGCAATTTATAAAAATAATTGCGGGGTAAATTTAGCGAACTGTAATTTGGTTGAAATGAGGTATCCTTACAATGGGTTCGTAATGGAAACATAAAATTTTGATGTACAAAACGAGCCGAAAATTTAAAAATGCAGAGAATATAAAAAGTTTTGGGGCCGCTATTTAAAATTTAATCATTACCGGTGAAAAAGAAACCGTGTTTTTTTTCTCGGTTTTTCCTTTCTAAATTTGTAAATCGTTCATGGTTAAAACCGAGTTGGTTGGGAGCTAATTGGCCTGTAAAAAGGGTATTTTTTCCTGTTGAAATTTCTGGACCCACCCCTCCAATATTTGTCCTCCCTAGCCATGATATAAATAGGTATTCTTCTTTACCCAAAAAAATCAAGTAACTTAGTTTTGTTTAAATTTTAAAAAAAGATGAATATTTTTATTTAAGTTTTTACACCCTTGAATATTGGGTAAAGAGGGTAAGGAGGAAATCTATGGGAAGTGAGATTAATTGAGATGGAAAGAAAAATTGTGAAAAGGTTCTATAAAAGAAAATTGGGGCGTTTAGAGAACAATGTATTGGTGCAGAGGGAGGTTACAAAAGCGAATTGATGATTATGCAAAAATCCTTCTTACGCCCAAACTCATTTATCTAAAAAAAGTAATTTTTCTAAAGCCCTAAAAATTAATGCATGGTGGGGGACAAGATACCTTAAAAATTGATTAGGAAACCTTCTGGATTTCCCCAAAAAGCAAAAGTGTAAAAAGGGTGATTAATCTTGTGTAATAGTGCCCTGGGATGCCAGATCCTAATTTTACCCAGGGCCTCCCCCATTGCCAAATCACAATTTGATCGTTTAGCAACGACCTCCCCCCTGGCCGCTGTGGAAAATACTGTATTATTTTTTGTAAATACGGTAATTTTTTAGGTAAAATAGAGGCCTATAGTAAATTTTTAAAAAAAATTTTAAATTTTGGAAAATGGGGAAAAAGAGCCTGCGCCTGCACAAAAAGGGCTCCCATCTTGGTTTTGAATTGGATACAACGTTAGTGTATGGGAAAGGGAATTTTGGCTCAGAGGTTAAAATTGGGGGTGCACATCCCCAAAAGAGGCGAAATTGTTGGGGACATTCCTGCATAAATTTTAGATATCAAGACTTGGACAAACGCTCCCGGAACCTCAATAAGCTCTCTAGATTTTTATAATTCTGGCCATGTTTTCATAAATTTAGTGAGGTTTTCGAGTTGATAAATTAATATCCCGTCAAATTTGGGGAGTGAACTAAGATATTTTTCCCTTTGTTATGTAATTGTGTATAATATAAAACCATTATATTTTTAAATACAGTCCCCCAAATTTATATATTTACCAGTATTCCCGGTGTTGTATTTTTTCATTTAATTAAAAGGGCCAGAGCAAATTTTGGTTTTTGACAGGGTAGGTATGAAGGGGGAATTTTTTTGCGACCTAAGTGTCCCAATTCCATTGCTAACTGATAAATAAATTACTTGTTCATTTACTGTTAAAGTATATAATTTACACCAAGTAAACAATTTTCCACACCAGGTTATCTGTTTCGACAAAGACCCTTACAATTATTTTATCTAACGATTAGCTAACAATAAAGTAGAATTCAGTTATTTCCGTTGGGATTTAACCTGGTCCTCTACAGCTAAATTTGGTTAACGTAACATCTTGACCACGAGATTAGATTTCACTGTTGTCCTTACCACTCGGGCATAATCCTTTAAAGACAGAACCAAGAGCTAGAGCTCGCTCTTTTGCAAAGTCAAGCAAGTAATTATAGCCTTTGAGACTCAGTCATGGTGCCTTTAATGGTGACTCAACATGTTTATCATCTACATTCCTTTAAATACGCCCATGAGCGGGTCAACAACTCAATAAGACTCGTGTCAGGACGCTGTGTCCTGACATAGATTATTATGCACACACTGTTGCAGGTTATTTAATCAAAGCTGGTGTACCGGACAGTGCACAGATACCTCTTCTAGCTTCTTCGATCACTACATGTTATCAAAGATAACAATTATTATCATTAATGTTATTATGATCCATTTAAGTGCTAAACTCATGAGAAATGCACATCATGCTAGTAGCTTTCTTTGTTCTTAACAATATTTTATTACATGTAACTACGTTTTTATACTGCACAGAGAAATATATTTTGTTCATTTGTTTTGCTTGTTTGAGCTCAGTTTTGTTGTTGCTCGTCGAGTGGCCAGTAATCCCCCCCCCTCCTCAGGGTCAAGGCCAACACAGGGGCTCCGTCAAGTCCGCACCAACACTAGTTCATCAACAGTAATAAATACAGGAAGTGAAAGATGCTGAAATAGAGCAGCAGAAATTTAATAAAGCATAGTATGCGTTACACGTTTGAACATTATGCAGTTTAAATAAATATTGCTTTGTGCACACAAAGCAAAATTTACTCTTTGCACATTTGTTCTACCCAACGGAATCTGTGGAATGTCTAGAAATGAATTGTTATGAATTTCACAGATTTACTCTGGGTAGCGCAAGCGAGTAGTGTAAATGGTGTTTAGTGTGCACACGACAATATGTATGAAGCCTGTATAACATTAGAACGTGCAAAACGTCTTGTATTTTTTTTACACAATTAAATTTACAAACTAAAAAATAGCTGTCTTAGCTCACTTCATTTCAAAGACTATGGTGTTCATTAAGTCCTTTTCCCCTGGATGCGACTACTACCTAATTACTGCTAAGTGAACAGGGACAACAGGTGTCAGAAGACTTGTCTATGTCTCATGCCCTACATGGGAATCGGAACAGAGTCCTTTGGTTATAAATCGAATGCTCTACCACTAAGTTATTCGTCACCTTTTTAATCTCCCATATGTATATATATATATATATATATATATATATATAATATATATATATATATATATATATATAAATATATATATATATATATATATATATATAGTTGTGTGTGTACTCACCTATATGTGGTTGCAGGGGTCTATTCACGGCTCCTGGCCCCCACCTCTTCGCTAGTCGCGACAAGGTCCACTCTCTGTCCGCTCCAAGAGAGATATCGTACCCCTTCTTTAGGCTATGTATAGATCCTGCCTCCACATCACCCTCCAGATTGTTCCACTTCCTGACAACTCTCTGACAAGAGATACTTCCTCTGTGTGTGTGTGTGTGTGTGTGTGTGTGTGTGTGTGTGCTCACCTAATTGTGGGTGCAGGGGTCGATTCATAGCTCCTGGCCCCGCCTCTTCACTGGTTGCTACTAGGTCCTCTCCCTGCTCCATGAGCTTTATCATACCGAATCTTAAAACTATGTATGGATCCTGTCTCCACTACATCACTTTCCAGATTATTCCACTTCCTGACAACTCTATGGCTAAAGAAATACTTCATAACATCCCTCTAGCTGATCTGAGTCTTGTGTGTGTGAGTCAATTCATGTAGTTAGTTAATTCATGAAGTCAATTCACAAAAGTATATATATATCGAAAGAAAATAATTAAATATATTAATATATATATATATATATAATATATATATATAATATATATATAATAATATATATATAATATATATATATATATATATATATAATATATATAATTTTTAATTTTAATCTCTATATAGAAGTTAAGGTATTCTTGGTACTTGTGTGGGGGGTGAATTGCGGCCTAATGAGCCACGAACAGTCCAGAGGGATAAAAGTTTTATTACCTATATTAAGGGCTAAATTATTATTATTATTGATACTAATGTGCAGATAGACTGTGGCATTAATAACCTCATATACTGCTACATACAGCCATGAAGCTAACAAACTTTGTCATCTGTTTGTAGAGTGAGAGCGCGGAGAATTATGTAGTCAGGTTGTTTGGGGTGTATGTAACACTGCAGGTCACTGCTCAGTGTTCAGTCTGCCAGCGTGGGTGAAAGTGCTTGTCTTAGACTCTCCAGGTTATTAGTTTTTTTTTTTTTGCGACACCTGATTTCTTTTCTGGTTGTCTGGAAAAAAAGCTCTGGGGGTTTGCCCTTATCAGGACATACGTATGCGTGAATCGTTGCCCAGGTGTGTCAGTCATTATCAATGGCGGGGAATGAATTGTGGCCTCTTCTGATAAGGACATTTTTGGTGATAGATCTCACATTTGCCACCATTTTAAACGGCAAGTGTACAGATAACCACAAATGTGAGGTCACTATAACATCTCAACACCCAAAAGTTGGTTTCTTAACGCCAAAACTCTGCTGTGATGAAATTGACTTCCCGTTCACTTTTCTGGCCAACTTCTTCGAGTTACAACTAGACGAGGAAATTGTGACACTACACATGCACGAGTATTACCTGGTGGACATCAGGGTACGTTGCCTTCATTGTTTCTTTCTACTGTCCTCGTGAGGGACCCTTCATAAGGGGTTCTTGATGCTTTGAAGGGTTCTTTGAACTACCCTTATCTTCCCTGAATCAAAGGCGTTTGTCTATATCCTGGGCGCTGTATGACTTGAAAGTTGTGTGCTTCGTGAATCCTTTCGAGGGAAGTTTCTTGGTGAGGGGCTTTTAATCCAAGGAACTAGATTTACTCTCCCCTTGGGTCAGCTCAGGTGCTCTATGATCCCTGTGAGTTTCTAGTTTCTCAGCTGAATATAAAAATAAAAATACAATGATAATGATGATGATCCTTGTGAATATATCGACTTTCTACTATCATGCTTTAAAATATCTAATTTGATGTAGGCTTAATGGTATTGGCAGGGAAGCAGCCTACCTAGGCAGCAACTAATGCCTAGTGTGATTTTTATCCTTCACTCTGGCACATTGTACAGTATATTTGGCTAATGTGCAAGTCCGGTCCTTTTGAGAACTTTCACAATATTTTAATTTAATAAATATAAGGAAGGTCAAGGTATCTACTCCAACAAACATTGTTATTTCTTGTTTTTTTCGGAGATAATATATATGACTCGAATGCCGCATCAAGACCAGTCTGTGGTTTATATGGAGGCAGTTGACACACAGGCAGTTACAGCGAACGTAAATAAAAATACGAGTTTCCTATCGACCGCTGGCGGAGTAAGTTACGTTAGGTATTTTACTTTTCTTATTTCGTTAGATTAGTACAATATTTTTTTAACCA